TGGCAGGTGAGTATTTAAGGTAATCAAATGCCTAATAATGAGAAAATTGAGTAATTCTTGTAACAGTCCTCCTTATTTTCAGATAGATATATACAGTTTTTATTTGCTTGCATTTGAAGTCTGAACTGCTTTCCTTGCTATCCCACACCATAATTTTGAATACAGATTTCAAATTCTTCTCTTCGTCGGGATGGACAAACATTTAGAAACATAAAGAGAAGCCAATCAAAACTGAATGTCACCCACCTTTTGTTAAAAAGCAGAAATGAATACACAGTAACTTATACATTCTTCTGTACATTAATAAAACAAGTTTCCACAAATTAGAAAAAAAAATATCTTCAGTGTCTTAACAGAGCTTAAAGCTCAAAATTCATTACAAGAAATTTATTCAAGGAGAAGCACAAAAATTTCAGCACCAATACCAAACTCATTGTCCCAGGTCAAGGTTTTAAAACCAAGTATAAAACGTTAGTCAGACTCACCTTCCCTCATTGATTTTTGCTTTGTCTCCTTGACAAGAGAAGTTCTCAATGTAACCTAGGCTGCAGTTGATTCGTGTCCAGTCAGGCTGACACACAGCAAGGAAGTGAGGACGTAGTCTGCCTATGGAGTACTTGGCAATGTCTGTCAACGACTGGCTAGCAGCTGCTCCAAAAATGAAGGTCCCAATGGCTTTGTAAATAGTGGCTATGTAGTTATTTCTGACAAACGAATTTGAGTGCAAATGATTATAAAAGACAGAAAGAGTCTCTCCTAGGATTATCTGAAAGAGAAATAAGAACAACAGTTAAACAAAGATAATAGCTTAAAAATACATTACTGTTAATACTCAGGCATGTAGTTTCACAAATTCTTTTATACACATTAAGGTGCAAACTTCCAAGAGTCAGAAGTAACCATGCCAACAATTCTAAACACTTATGTAGATGAAAACTTTTACTTTATCCTGCTTCATGTTGAACTTAATATTGATTTTCATAATATTTATTAAAATGTTTTCTCCAGTATTGCATTTTATTCTACACTGAATCTTCTTCAGCTAAACTTCTGCTGAACTTAATTTTCCTATTTCATTATAAAGTTCTTAGGGTTTTTTTGTGAATCCAGATACCACCCCAAAGGGTCTAAACTTCATTTCCAGATGTGAAAAGCCAGTTATTTAAACAAAGGCATTTCCTATTCCCTAGGGGAGAAAAGTAATAAGAGTAGGAAAAGACAAAGCATTACTTAGGTCTTTTCAAGGAGTTTTCACCCTACACGTCCAAGGTAACATGCATCAAGTGTGTATCAAGTGTTGACTGGAAAGCAGATTTCATTTGGTTTTCCTGCAGCTTTACATTTTGCAGAAAGTCTGTCTTTCCTTAAACCAAGTAAAAGACTTCAACACAGACAGGTTGGATATTGAACCAGAGGGTTCCATGTTCTACAGAAATGCTCGACTCACACAGATGATACTATAGGTGGGAGACTGTATTCATATATGTAAACTGATCTTTAAAAATCCTGTAAATATTAAATGATAGCTTCATCTGTCACTTCTGAGTGACGAGTCCAGGATCCCAGGGAAACAGAGCTTCGGTGAATGAAGCTGTTAGCAGACACTGACACTTGGGCAGACAAAAATAGCTGTCAGTAGCTTTGCACATTAAGGTAAACAGGGTATCTCATCAGATGCATGATGCTGAAGTTTTTACACCCTGCACCATACCAAACCATGGAATGAAGCAGAGAAACACCAGAACATGCACTAAAGCTGAGAAAGGTTTCAGTACTGTAGATATTGGTAAACTGCTATATAGAATCTACCTATCCTGACCCTCTTAATGCGGACAGTTGAGAAGAACTGATCCTATTTAAAGAACATTGCTGCAAAACCTGTAAGAAAGCAACTTAGTTGACAAGACACAAAATTAGGTGATGTTACTGCAGTTACTTCACAGATGCAGACATCAAAGAGCATTCATATTCAGTGAGTCAGTAAAGGACACCAACATCTGTTTTTATCATTTGCCACCTGAACTTAGAGCAATCTTGACAGAAAAGTCTGATTTCAATACCAATAAGTGGTTCCTGATGTTAAAAGTAACTTTGTGAGCTAAATGATCGTACAGGTTCATATGGAGATGGGAGAAATTCAAAGGAAATACATGCATTAAAAATGACTACATTCACTGAAGCCTGGAAGTTCCTGAATTGCGAATGGGTCATAGCAAAGTAGTGAGGGCAAAACATCAATATTTTCTTACTCTATTCTTCTGTTGTACCTCAGTCATCTGTTTTAACCACTGCTAGAAAGGAGGTGACAAGCTAGATAGACTTCAGTTGTGACCCAGTACTGCTGCTCTTAAGTAGTGTTGACCACCACCAGTAGTAACAGGGTGGAAAACAAGTACTTTCTTAAAAGGCAGGATCTTAAGAAACAAAACCAAAAACCATTTTATCTGCTCCAGGAATATTTCTGTAAGTATTTGAAGCAGTTTTTCAAAGAAAAGGAAAACTAAATCAGAGTTTAGATTCCCAGCCCCGACATTTCTAGTTACAAAAAAAAAAAAAAAAATCCACCCAAAAGCAAACACAAGGTATAAGTTGACCATTATGTTGGAACCTAGATAAAAACTCAAGCAGTCTGTATGCAAGAAAGAGTTAAGACTGCTGTCATATTCCTCCTGATTTTAGCCCAGAGAAACAGCTGGTCAATACTGAGCTTCATTTAGCTGCTCCCTTTTCCAGTTTTGATTCCTACAATATGGTTGGATAAATATTTATACACCTAAAAATCTTATTTAGCATAAAGGACTTTTAACTCTGCTCAAAGTGTAGCTCTGATGAGGTACACAGAACCCTAAGTGGCATCTGAAGTTTTCTAGCACATCCGGACAGGGATCTTGAAGCCACTGCTGAAGGGCCATTGTTGGAACCAAACGTGGAGTTCCATGAGACTTAGAACACGAAACGGTTAAATCTTGAGGTCCCGTTCTCCTCTCTACCCGTGCCCAAGGACATGCACCCACCATTTTTTGCCCCAGGACTGATACCATATTCTCCCAGGAGCCATCTCCCTAAACCTAGCTCAAGGAAAGCTGCTGTTTTCTGCCAGGTTAAGGGATTTTGCTAGCTTATCCTGGTTCAAATAATCTACCAGAGGGAGCAAAAGACAGGGTAATAGTGGGACCTCACCTTTTGTCCATGACAGCATGTAATCAAATCTTAAGAATACAGAGTCGCTATATGCTTAAACTAGTTCAGCTGAGCTAGAAGCTGAGGTGAAAGAGGGAGACCCCAGGCAGGCAGCTGAGGAGGCAATCGACCCAGCTCACCAGTTTAGCACGCAGAGAAGGGAAGGACAACAGTGCTCATCTTCAACGAAGCGAGGTGCACCATGAAAGCAAGCCCCAGCATTAATCAAATAAAAGTGGGCCCCATGTTTTATCCTGACCTCCAGGGAAATATCCAGTGGAAAACTGCCTGTCTGCTTACTTTTCTTCTAGTTATGCTTTTGATAAGTTCTGATTGGAAGACATAATATTTCTCTATTAAAGAACCTAGTATCTGTTACATTTCCACAATCACAAGTATTTCCAATGACTGTTGCAGATAAAAATGCTGACTTGCTAGGTCAAGCAAACTCTTATTCCGAAAATCCAAAAGTTTGAGATTGTAATTTAAAATACATTAGTGTTATTATTAACTGATACACTAAGGAAGAAAGCTTTTATCTCTCAGACTATATAATTAAGTCATTATAGTTACAAGGTATTCTCTTCTGTTCTACAATTCTAGTTGTGCGATGCCTATAAAAGAAAACCTTTCAGTTATTCTTGCCAGAACACCATTGCTACTGTTTTAGCACCTAGTCTACGGACATCTTTTTCATGTCAAGAAACTTTGCAGAATACAGTTTTAGAAGTCTATATTAACAGGTAGCCCCCCCGTTCTTCCCCACCCCCAATGAAATCAAATGCAATGAAGAAAAGTTTAACTTACAACAATTATACTCAAAGGAATAATTATTCCTGCTAACAACTTATAAGAAATGGTGTCCTCTTTGTATGGATATCGGATGGATTCATCACTACAGAAAACTCCTCTCTGGAAGGGGATACGTCTTGAATTGAGAATTGCAAAAGGCAAGCCAGCTAGCAAAAAGGAATAAAAAATACATTACAAAAGCAACACAAACTCTGGCGATGATTATACCCCCGCATTCCCAAAGAGAACTGCATAATGAGGCATAGGCATGCAGCAAGTTGAAAGGTTATGCGCTCCCTTTGGCCAATGACCTACTGCCTTGTCTTTGCAGCTCCCAGGAAGGGCTGTTGAATGAAGGAGAGCAGGACAGGATTCCTCTCACCTTTGCATTTGTGGCACATCCAGTATGGAAGCATGCCGAAACCATGATTGAGTAAACATGTCAGTGACAACCACCGAGTTGCTCAATCTGCTGCTACTGCCACAATTATTGACTATTCCTTTGTATTCCAGTGAGCAACAATTGCCCCTTTGTTTAGACCTTCTCTGGACAGCTTTGCAAGTTAGAAGAGCATAAACTGCATTTCAGAAGCCAGAAAAGGGGAGCTTCTCAGGGAGTGCAAGTGCAGAGGGAGTTTTCAGGAGGATATGGAAAAAAGGAAAAATCACACATGCATGAGATCCCCTCACTTCCACACACACTGGATAGTTACCAGGAACAATGTGGTCACTGCACAAGCCCTACAACCTCAGGGCATGGAGATTTTACTCCTCTCTCTTCTACAAAAGAGCAAGCCCTTGACTCATCCTGAATTCCAGAGAATACAAGATTAAGGCACACACTGCTTTGTGTTACTTTATACCTCCAGAGACCTGCAACACTTACCAAAACTAGTCATTTGAACTGCATTTTTTTTTAAAAAAAAAAAACCCACTCAAAAGTAGAATACAAATTACCACAAATAGATTCACATTTCTAAACCCAAATTCTCCATCCCTGACATACATAAAGCACTTGCACAATCTGTTTGTGTACAAAAAATGAATATCCTCAGAAAAAAAAAAAAGCAGTGTAGGAAAAAAAGAAGCAGGAGACTACCAACAGCATTCATCAAAACAATAAATAATCTTTAACTTGGGCATGTACAGCCCAGTGGCATTAAGGTGCTTAAGTGCCCTTATTTTGTGCTCAAAGTTCAGTAGTAATGCATATAAAATGCATACCAATTTAGAGTTAGATAACAAAAATCATCTCAGGGAGAGACACTCTTCATCTATTAGCAACTGATCAGAAGCATGAAAAACAGCCTTCTCCCCTCCTGCCAGAGGAAGATGTTGCTGTAGTCCCCATTCTCTCCTCAGACCTCTGCGTCAAGGCATAGCTCACCTCTTCCCTTCCATATACACAGCTACACCAAGTGTGTTCAAACAATAGTAAACATGGAAAGTACAGGAGAAAAGAAAGAATAATAAATACCAACAGAGCAGTAAAATAATTAAGAAAAGAGAAACACTAGTGAGGATTTACAAGAAGCAAAAAGAAAGATACCTAGGACCCTTTTCGACTCTCTTCCCCCTTTTAACCTCCACCCATTAAGTCCTCCAAACTAAGCCTGACATCTGGGCCCACCACAAATGAAACATACTGTTTTCACTTGTGATTTGCTATCGATTCTGTTCTTCAAGCCATAAAGTGGCTGCTTAAAAGAAAGCTTCAGTTTGAAAACAGACACAGAAGAACAAACAACAATCTTATGACTCTTAAGGTGAAAATTTCCTTCAAGTGACCTCTGATGAATGACACACAGCTTTGTTCCGCTTTGCTCCGGTTATGGGCTTATCACAGTGCCCACACACTCCAGCTAAGCCCGTCACAAAGAACCAAGTATCTTCTGTACTGTTACAGTCATAAAAGCAGTAGCATGCAAAACCTCTCTGAAAGTGGCAGAAAACCCCACTGCCATTGCAAAGCCGGGTTCTTTCCAGTTCCACGCTAGCAAGAGTACAACTGACCTAGCTCTGGAAGCTGTTCAAGCACACCAACAAAGCAGAAGGACAGCAGGATGGGCAAAAAGCCAAGCCAGAGCCTCACCAAAACACTGCACCATTCAGACACCAGCCAGCACAAAGCCCTGGAGCCAGACTGCAGTACAGGGGTAAAACACAGCCTCCTCTACCAGGAAAAACATTCCTCTCCCTTTCTCCCAAAAGTCAGAATAGCAGGGGTTTGAAAAACACTGAAATCCAGGCCTCAGTTCTGCCCTCCCCTTGTGATGGTATCATGACAGCATGTCACAACATAGCAGCAGTCATTTACGATTTACCTAACTTGTGCAAGGGAGGAGGCAGAAGCCATGCGCAGGCATGGTGAGGGAAGGTGACTCGTCAACATAATGCCACGGTGTGTACTCAACATCATTTATTCTAAAAGACTAAGTACAGAATAAAAACTTCATCCTTTGCCATACACACAGGCGAAAATCAAGAACACAGCATTTGAGAAAAGTGTATTTTTTAGATGTCCAGAATTGGAGAATGAGGCTTACAAAACAAGGGCTTTTTATTATTTACAGGTTTACTTCTTTAGAGTACTTAGTTTTAATTATCATGCTACGGCAGATGCTCACAAAATTAAGGTCAATCTAGAAAAACTTTATCACAGCTTCAGCACGCTGCCACAAATACTTGAGACCCTAGGTGGTGTCACTGCCATCACATCACCAGCTCTGCATCATCCTTTTTAAAGACCTGCTCTATGAAGAATGGTGTCATGGTGACTTACTCCTCATTTCCTCCTACTCAGACATGAATGTTTCAGCTTCTCAAGAAGGAGATAAGATTTTCAGACACTGGGGTTACTCTGGTATTTTTGAGAGGAGAAGCTTTTTTTTTTAAATGTAATTACCTGCTGCTAAGTCAGAAATGAAAGGCAAATTGTGGGAATGAAGGTGCTTATGCAGTGATGATGTGCTTTTTCATACAAAAAGCTGCTTGAAATGTGTGCTACTCTTCAGAAATACAGTGACTGTGATGCAATTAGCCTGTAATTGCTTGCAGCACCTTCCTATATTAAGGACATGCAAACAAAATACTAAACAACTCAAAGTTTGTTTTGCTTTTTAAGCAAGTAAGAACCAGCTAAAACAAATTTAAATGCCTTCTCTTTCACAATGTCTTTCCACCACTTTATCTGAAACCAATCACACTTTGCTAATTAAGAAAGAAAACTTTATAAACAGTTTCTTGAAATCATAACCAGCAAAATTTAGGTAAGACAGTGTAAGTCTTAAAGTTTTAAATATCTCCCTGGTTTGAAATAACAATTAATTGGAAGATGTACGAATTGAAATGCAATGCTGAAAAAAAAAAAAAAGCTTATATGGTAAAATTCATGAAGTGTTTCTTCAGCTTCCCCAACTGTAAAACAACGTTTAAAAGTAAATCCATCAGTCATTTGTTCTGTTGCTGTTCTCAGCACTTTTCAGTCCTGAAAGCTGGTGTGCCCCTTGAAAGCCTGAGATAAAAGATTTAATTGCTAAAAACCAGATTACAGTAAAATTTATCAGACTGACTTAAAACTGTTAAACTCAAAACTTAAGTCACACAACTACATTATAATTTACCTTTTGCTCAATCCAAGGCAGTTACTAGTGTGAAAAACCATGCCAGTACTAGCTTTTGACATCTTTTTGATTAAAGTACTGTCCAACCTCAATAGCTACTCCTTCAGAACATGTTCCATAGAGCACATTTAATTTACTTCTTCTAAACACTATGGAATGGCTTCATTATTAGCTGGTGGAAGGAGAGAGAAAAAAGTAGAAGTTCAACCAGAAGTGCAGCAACTCCTACTGTTTCTGCCAAGTGAAGCCATTAAGAAAAACTTTTTACAGTACCTTGCAATCTTGCTCTGTTTTAAATGATTTGACAATGTCTGGTTTTGGGGGTTTTAAGTTTCTTTTAAATATAATCCCAAAATTTCTAAAATCAAATTAGTTATTTCAAATATACATCTTAAGACTTTCTGCAATGCAAGTCTCTCTCCCTCAAAGACAAAGTAGAGACAGGAGAAAATAGTTTGGCTTCTTCATTAGTATAAGCAGGACAAACAACCAGAGGAACTGGCCTAAGTGATGAAAGAAGCAAAGCCTCTTAGCACAGCAAGTACAACATTAGGGTTTCCCTATAACTTTGATAGTCATGGTTTCACCTTGAGAGATACCATAATTTCAGACAACATGAGTAAGTTTTTGCATCACAGCAGCAAATTCCTAAGTATGAAACCTCATAGCACATGAGGGCTTGATAGGACTGAAGATACCACATATTTCTCTTCATAATAGTAAAGCTACCATTAGTGTCAAGGCATTTAACTTCTCAGATACAACTGAGTAACAAATTTTTCCCAGATCACTGGGAAAAGAAATCTTGCTCATCTGCCATAGTTACGTGTTGCCATACTAAGTTAAAAGAAAAGCTCTGCTGCTTCTACAGACACTCTTTTTTCCCCTAAACAAGCTACAATCTCTAAGGGCAGAGTTTGACACATTAAAGAGGAGAATTAGTAAAAATTAGCTGGGCTCAGTTTTACACAAAAGTGGAAGAAATTGAGGAGTTCAAGTACTCTTCTAAGTAAGGAGATGGTGGAGGATCATTAAAGGCTCTCTCTACTGAATACTTCCCTTATGACAATACCAAAAAGCATTCCTGATGTATGCTTCATTTTCCAGATCAGTAGTAACACAGTGAAGAAACTGACTAAAGGAAGGATGACAACAGGTATGTTAAGAGGAATTATAAGGTTGGGAAGAGGTTACCAGTTAGGGTAATCTGAAGTATAAAGCCAATGAGCTAGTGTTATGCAGTGCATACTGCTGACAGAGCTGGTAGTTCTGTGCTACACTGGAAGATCAAGGTCAGCCAGCTCTGCCTGCAAAACGACTCTTTAACTGAAGCAAGAGAACACATATGGAGATTTGTGCAGTAATAAATTCAGAGTCATGCACATGGAGGTTAAACAACTCTGATGAGCTGGGAGTTTGTCAGTTCAAAACACAAGGGGAAAATGTCAGCCTCCTATGGTTGTTGTACACCACTATAGTACTGTGAGCATTACACAAGTCTTTCCAAAGGCATTAAATGCTTTTACTCATTCAACAAGAACTTCTTCT